TGCACTTATATAGCGACGTGCATGTACGTGTGTGTGTGTGTCCGGACTGATGCCGATTTATAGTGCTAGCTCACTGAGATACCATGCCGCAGTTTAACATGAATACCCCACTCAGACACAGTATACTGACTCCGAGCCGACCAGTCCCTGTTTTATCCCCTTACTGCCGAGCGCCAGACAGGGTAACAACAAATACCATCTTTAAATGTCATTCGGTATGGTAAGGCCGGGGATTGACCCCGGACCTTCCGCTCTCCGGTCGGGCGCTCTACCACTAGACTACGGAAGCGTAAAACCCTCCTTATTCACTGATTCCCATACACTAACATCGCAAGATTTACACTATACCATGGCGGTCTGTAACCAAGTCTGATACAGACAAACAAGAGACAAAGGGAGAAACTATCAGCGATCCTCGTCATCGATCACTCGCAAACACGTTTCAGCATAAGGTATCCTAACCATAGTTTGTTAAATGTTTTATGGTTAATCAATATCGTCTCAATATCTGTGCCACTCAGACCTGAAAAAAAGATTTTCGCCACAGCTCGAGGCTCAACAAACGGTCGTCACGTTTCATTAATGTGTATGTATTATAGGCGTTGCTTTGATTAACAATATATCCCGTGCAAAACAAATACACGTGTTTGCTCCCTGTGTCGCCATTTTGTTTGACAATAAGATTCTGTTTTGATCTGTTCGGTTACAAGATGCCAATACTTTAATGAGAACATTTCGATAAAATTGATGGTCATGTGCTGTTAAGCAAGTAACACATTCCATTTTCCATAAAAAGCTGCACTAATTTTCAGGGTTATGTCAACATAACTATATTTGTTATAAAACAAAAGTAAACAATCAAACGGTGATTGAGTATTGCGTTGACGACGCCAGTGTCATACTGCTGAACAATTGCAACGAGCAAGTAATGAGGTGAGGTGAAATGGGGTTTAACGTCGCGTCCGAGATTATTGCACTTATAAAGCGACGTGCATGCACGTGTATGTGTTTGTGTGGCTGCTTGTACTAGTCCGGACTGATGCCGATTTATAGTGCTAGCTCACTGAGATGCCATGCCGCAGTTTGACATGAATACCCCACTCAGACACAGTATTCTGACTCCGAGCCGACCAGTCCTTGTTTTAGCCCCTTAATGCCGAGCGCCAGACAGGGTAATAACAAGTACCATCTTTTAACGTCTTTTGGTATGACGCGGTCGGGGATCGAACCCCGGACCTTCCGCTCTCCGGGCGGACGCTCTACCATTAGACCACGGAGGTGGTCCGAGCAAGTAATGCAGGACATGAAGAATATTACAGCCATAATGCAACTGTGCACGGCAGGACATATTGAATATTAAACCCCGTTGGTTACATAAAACAATTACTAAATGCACATATCAAGCATACGCTGTGAAGCCCCGTTAACTCGAAGAAAACAATCGAAAATGCATTGAGTAATCCGGGGTTTGAGGCAAGCAATGTGCCGATAATACAATAGAGTGTAACGAATAATGGAGTGGACCACCATTTGATATTCTTGAGAGCAAGGATTTAAAAGAGTGAGTGAGTGAGTTGGGTTTAACGCCGCTTTTAACAGTATTCCAGTCATATCACGGCGTGTCAGCTTAAAGGGCAAGTTCACACGGAAATTAACCTATTTTTCTTGTACTTTTTCCACATTAAAAGTGTTAACCTAGAAGTGTCATAGACAAAAATATAAAAATATCACAATTAATTAACATATTTTTCGCATTAAAACGATTTATATTTTTCACATTTACCAAGTGTTCTATTTCCACAACAAAAACACCATGGCTTATGCCCCTTGCAATATGACGTCATTGGTGCCAATTGATAAACATTATGACGTCATCATGCTTTGTTAGAGCCGCTTCACGTGGTGTAGGTCTAGATGTGTGATTCTAGCGTCTCAGATGCCAGCCAGCATAGTGTTATGCTGAGTCACAACTGCGCCGGAGTGTGTCGTAGGCCATGTTGTTTTACCGCAAACTGGTACTTGATATCTTTTGCGTTGAGAATAGACAGGGACCCAGTTGAATTGGCACCAATTACGTCATAATCTAAGGGGGATAACTCAGGCCTGTTTAGCTCGAAAAACGAAGGCCTCATAACGGCATATCATTTTCACACTATTGTGAGCTTCCTACTTTCACTGTGAAAAAAATGAGTGTATATTTTCAAACACAGATACTAATTAATTCTAAAATTGCGTTTTGTTTAGAAAAAGAAAGAAAGTGATTTTTGCGTGTACACTTCCCCTTTAATGTGGGAGGAAAGCCCGAAGTGATGCAGGTCTCAGACGTTTACCACTTCGGTGAAACCCACGAGCACGGGTATGGTGCTGACAAACCTAGAAACATAAAGGATTTAAAAGAAACAATGTGTTTGAAAACACTGAAACTAAAACATTTGCCTCAGGTGTTGCACTGAACATTATATTATTCGCTGGAATTGCTGGATATCCTAAAAGAAATATTCCGTAAATACATCTAAAGCCAACGCCAGAGAATAACCAGATACGATTATTCGATGAAACAGATTTCATTGGGCGTGAAAATTGTATGAATGGAACACGGAAAATCAGAGATGACACCAAGTACTCGCCAAAAGGATAAGCATGAATACTTTTCGGCAATTCTTTTCAGAGAAAAAATATGTTTCTAATTAACAAAAATCCCATTTCACCTTCCCCAGAATATTAAAGTTAGCGTTAACGATGTGTAACTGAGTATGTATCGATTTCTCTTTGATTTGTTTGCATCTCATTTACAGTAGTTCGATACTTGGAACGTCGACTGATGGGCGTATGAATCATTCACAGGGGTGACGTTTTCTACGTTCTTTGGCCAACAAGTGCACTGATTCCCCGCCAAGGTAACCGGTCCAACCAATAACATAATCCATATAAAATCAGAAATCGACAAGGCAAAAATACTCGTATCGATCGCGTTCAGTCGCTTGTGACCTGAGTACCTTGTATACAACGTTCTCCTTTATGTCATGGAGACTGATTCCGCTTCAGACCATTAATATTTTCATGTCGATATGTGTATAGTACGAAACATGAGAACGTCCTTACGAGATTTGATGTGTATGTTTATGTGATTAATTAAACATAACGTTTCTTTTTAACATCCACTTTGAAGTTGGAAGGTGGGAACATGAATATAAACAGAACGCCTCTATCTGTACTGAATGGGCTGTCATACCCAATATGCACTGAATGATCCGCTGGATTGTTGCCTGTTTAGTTTATTACAATTGTAATAAATCTACACACTCCAAACAACAAATCTTCACGTATTTTAAAGATAGAAACCGTTTCATATCGTGCTACAGGTTCCTGAAAATGATAATTCTTGTATTGTTACATTCTGTATCCTACAGTATTCATTCCAGATATCGTAGCTTTGATGTTTTCGCAAGTTAACAGTAATGTTGGTGAACTGGATCAAGATAGAGGCATAGTTCCATATGTTAAGTGTTCATGCTGTAGCCGTATCTAGGTTGAAGGGAATGATTCGAATTTGGTGATACTTTTCTGATACTCTGTTATTAAGAGGTATGGTTGAGAGTTGCGGTGTTGTGTATGTCGGGGAAGGAGAGGAAGCGTTTTGAAACTGATACAGGAAAACGAGAAAACATTATGAAATTGCCCCCGAATTATATATCTCTGGTTGTCACGATGTTATTGGATGTGTTCTCTAATTCAGAAACATTATTTAACATGCAGTCTGGTTAAGTCGGTAAATAACATCTAAAGCCAGCGCGAGTTGTACTGGCAGGTCCACTGTGCTAAAGCACGTATCAGCACGGGTGTTTTCTATTCTTGTTAAAGGTCTTCATCTTGCAGCTGAATTTACAGGAGTACTGATAGCTTTTTACACTTTACATAGTTTTCACATAAAACTGTAAATTATTTCAGATATATCGATGTACCACTGTCAATTACATATACCCTATTCGACATAATAAGCGCCAAGGGCGCTCTTAAAATTAGAAATGGGGGGCTCTTATTAGAATATTATTTTGGTGAAAAACAATAGAGTTGAAAGATCGTTCATTTCGTGGTTTAGGCTGATAGCCTGAAATGTTTATATACGACAGATATATTTTTCCAGAAATTAATTTCCCATAATTAAGGGTGCATATAACATACGTATTATACAAGAATAAATAAGTCTTGTGTGCATTGATCAATCGGAAGGGGTGCTAATTGGGATTGTTCACTAGCCAGTATATTAGGAAATATCGCCATAGGCGCTTATTACGTCGAATACGGTATATTTTATTGGTTGATGATGTGGTAAAGAGACCATTGAATTGTTGAATAAAACAAATGTATTATTTCACTACATTGCACAGTATGGATATAGGGTACATGAGCACAGGATTAGGAGATGCGAAATGTGTAAATCAACAAGCCCTTTTAAGTAAGGATAGGATTTATGGATGAACAACTTCTTTATTACAATTAGGGGCGACGTTTCGGTGTACGTTCTAACACCGTTATCAACCACTTGCTTGATAACGGTGTTAGAACCTACACCGAAACGTCGCTCTAATGTGTAATAAAGAAGTTGTCCATCCATAAATCCTATCCTTACTTATGACTCCAACTTCTAAATGCCTATCAAAGTTAAGCCCTTTTAACTTGAAATCATACTAACCAAGTGTATGAATATACAACCAATAATTTCTGTTATTACAAAAAGAACAACCACTTTTTAAACAAATCTGTCAAAGTAAACACGGTCTATAAGGTAAATAATTTGTTGTGAAGAATCATATACTATATTGACATATATTGACATTCCGTAAAGACACCTTTATCCAAAATACGCCTCAATGTCCGAAGCTGAATTATGTTACCTGTTCCGTTTCTAAAGCGTCTTTACCTTGGATTTCTAATGGTTATGGAAAGGGTTTTGTGGATGTTATTCATAACTGAAAATCTTAAAATCTATTTTCACATACCTGTAACGCACAGCAAAGAGATGGTAACCAGATATAAGACATATTCCTTCATCTTCGTGACTGTATTTCACTCTTGAGACCGTCACATCCACATACAACCACGAACACAAGCACAATTAGAAATAGAAAAATGTTTCGGTGATATCGACAAGTTATCGATTAGTGATCAATGAACCAATAAACTACACCTGCACAGTCCTGTGATTATACTCCGGTGAGAAGGAAGGTAGTATCGTTCAATAAATAACTGATTTCATCGTCGCCATCCGTCACTTGTGATCAATATATAATCTCTATTAAACAAAGGAGATGAGATTCCTCGTTAAGATCATTTAAAGTGAGTGAGTATGGTTTTACGCCGCTTTTAGCAATATTCCAGCAATATCACGGCGGGGGACACCAGAAATGGGCTTCACACATTGTACCCATGTCGGGAATCGAACCCGGGTCTTCGGCGTGACGAGCAAACGCTTTAACCACTAGGCTACCCGACCGCCCGATTATTTAAAGGCATGTTGATATCAAATTAATCAAAACAAACCAATGTTTTGCAGTCAGCGCTTCGTCATATGGTGTTTACGTTCTCCTAATAGTTTGTTTGTTTGTTTGTTTGTTGGTTAACGCCGCACTCAGCAATATTCCAGCTATATGACGGCGGTCTGTAAATAATCGAGTGTGGACCAGACAACTCAGTGATTGACATCATGAGCATCGATCCACGCAATTGGGATACGATGACATGCATCAACCAAGTCAGCGAGCCTGACCACCCCATCACGATAGTCGCCTCTTGCATGCATAGTCGCGTGTTACGGCAAGCATAGGTTGCTGAAGACCTGTTCTACCCCGGATCATTCTCGTAATCGACGATGCAGTGAGCGAGTAAATATTTTTTTACGTTGACGGCGGCGTAAATAATGGGGATGAGGTAAACAAATGGTGGAATAATGATGAGCAGCTGTCCGCGGTTGGGGTATTAACGTAATCAGCCATGTCATACATTGTGACCAACCGATCCTTATTTCAGGCTACTGTTGTGATACACATGGGATACTGGGTCCTATTCTGCCATGATTGCTACTGCAACTTACAACGTTTACCGCTACTGCGACTGCAACGTACATCATCTCCTGCTATGGCTGCTTATACCACCTACCACCACTGCAACGTACAACGTCTACAACAACTGCGACTGCAACGTACATCATCTCCTGCTATGGCTGCTTATACCACCTACCACCACTGCCACTTACAACGTTTACCGCTACTGCGACTGCAACGTACATCATCTCCTGCTATGGCTGCTACTACTTCCTACCACCACTGCAACGTACAACGTCTACAACTACGTCGACTGCAACGAACATCATCTACCACTACTGCTACTGCAACACACAATGTGTAACACTACTGGTACTGCAAAGTACCTTCTGGTACTAAAACGTAAACTTCTAACACTGCTGCTACTGAGGGTGTCCGCCATAACCGCTAGACCCTTATGTATCGATACAGTCACGGAAGAATTAATATATAATTTAATGAATTATATCTACGGTATTTTGATCGACGGGATTCATATTTAAATAATAGCGACAAAACCCTTTCCATATTCACAACAGTCGATTGTACGATTCCGACTATATCATGAACATGTGTTTATGAATCACTATCAAATAGTATCGATACCAGGTGTTCTCGAAAAGGTGAGCGTAACCTGCCCAACCGATGTCATCCGTCACAAACACATGCAAATGCAAAGCATTTGTTCACCTGAAAGAAAATACGGGAAAACATGGTACAAGTCAAAATAGGAAATTGCATCGGACATCATTCTTGTCACTGATGCGTCAAATTTGGAAATGTCCTCCACATGTCTACAATCAAACCTTTTACAGAGGCATTGAAAGCTGTAACCTTGATCAAACAATTTCTGAGTAAGAGTTGTATGACGCTCAATTGTATCTCAAAAGTTGTGAAATGTAAACACCAAAGGCTGGAGCTGCTGGAATATTGCTCGACAAAAGTGAGTGAGTGAGTTTGATTTAACGCTGCTTTTAGCAATATTCCAGCAATATCACGGCGGGTGAAACCAGAAATGGGCTTCACACAATGTACCCATGTCGGGAATCGAACCCGGGTCTTCGGCGTGACGAGCGAACGCTTTAACCACTAGGCTACCCGACCGCCCCTGCTCGACAAAGAGAAGTTGACCATTGGAAGTCCTCCATTTTGTCATTTAGTCTTGTGGAGAGTGCATTGTAACATTTATATGCATCGATCTAGATATGAAACAGATAAGGCGGTGTCGCTTGTCTCCTTTATTTCTAGTTCAGGGGGGTAAATTAGTGGTTGGTTTGTTGTTTTACGCCGCACTCAGCAATATTACAGCTATATGATGGCGGTCTGTAAATAATCGAGTCTGGACCACACAATCCAGTGATTGATCCACGCAATTGGGATTGATGACATGCATCAACCAGGTCAGCGATCCTGACCACCCGATCCCGTTAGTCGTCTCTTACGCCAAGCATAGTCGCCTTTTACGGCAAGCATGGGTTGCTGAAGACCTATTCTACCCCGGATCATTACAAAACATTATATTGAACCAGAAGGTCTTGACGCCTATGTTTCAGTTGTCAAAACTATTACGACAAAGGAAGACACGAAAACCTCCTTTTTAAGATGTAGTGCGTTAATGGTTTTAGGCTATTTAAATATTCGATGGATTTCAGAAGTGTTTAAATAAACTCTAACATGTGCCGTCTTCGTTGTACAAACATGGATATAGTGTACCAGGACAGCCGTACACAATGTGAAAATCTTTATGCAATGTATGAGCCACATTTGGTTATTGATAATCTATACCAAAGAACATGAGAACTACTGTAGGTTATGTGATGGAATCGATGGACTTGCGTCATGGACATCAGATGTATGTTGGTTGGTTGGTTTGTTGTTTAACCCCACACTCAGCAATATTCCAGCTATATGACGGCGGTCTGTAAATAATCGAGTCTGGACCAGACAATCCAGTGATTGATATTATGAGCATCGATCCAAGCAATTGGGATCGATGACATGCATCAACCAAGTCAGCGAGCCTGACCACCCGATCCCGTCAGTCGCCTTTTACGACAAGCATAGTTACATTTGAGGCAAGCATGGGTTGCTGAAGACCTATTCTACCCCGGATCTTCATGTCAGATGTATTTGCAAGGCGTAATACACACACTGTGTCAGAGACTTTTGAGTTGAAATTTATCTGTCTGTGGTTGCATGTTTGCGTCTCTCTGTGTCTGTCTGTCTGTCACTTTAAAAAAATCTTCCTCATTTTTTGCAATTCCTTCATTAAGTGTAGTCCAATGGGGTGAGTGAGTGTGGTTTTACGCCGCTTTTAGCAATATTCCAGCAATATCACGGCGGGGGACACCGGAAATGGGCTTCACACATTGTAACAATTTCGGGAATCGAACCCGGGTCTTCGGCGTGACGAGCGAACGCTTTAACCACTAGGCTACCCGACCGCCCCGTAGTCCTATGGGACGGAGGTGTAGCCTTGTTGTTCATTGGTCCATCTCACCCAAGACTTGGTTTCGATTCCGTACCTAGAAACAATTTGTCAAGCCTATCCAATGTGTTTCCTGACCCGTGAAGATCCGGGGTAGAACAGGTCTTCAGCAACCCATGCTTGCCGTAAAAGGCGACTATGCTTGTCGTAAAAGGCGACGACCGGGATCGGGTGGTCAGGCTCGCTGACGTGGTTGATGCATGTCATTGATCCCAATTTCGTGGATCGATGCTCATGATATTAATCACTGGATTGTCTGGTCCAGACTCGATTATTTACAGACCGCCGTCATATAGCTGGAATATTGCTGAGTGCGGTGTTAAACAACAAACCAACCAACCAACCAACCAACCAACCAATCCTCGTCAGGGTATAGCTGAAATAAAGTACAACATAAGCCTTGAAACCGTCTTTCTCACTCACTCTTATATCGCTAGATTTACACCATACCATGGCCGCCTGTAATCAGGTCTGATACACACAAACAAGAGACAGATGAAATGATCAGAGATCCAATTCATCGATCACTCGCAAACAACCAGCATGATACAGCATAATGTATCCAAACAAAAGTTCGATATTTTTATGGTTAATCGACCATCGATCGGACGTCACGTTTCATGAATGTGTATGTATGACAGGAGTTTGCTTTTTTAACAATATATCCCGTGCAAAACAAATTCTGCTGCATGTTCTCTTTGTCGTTGTGTGTTTTGGGAGAATAAAATTCTGTTCTGTTAAAAGCAGCCAATTCTTCAACGAAACAATTCCGAAGATGTTGATGGCCATGTGTTGTTAAGTAATATTTTTCCTTTGATGTTTAACCCATACAAATCTCGGGCAATGTTTAGGGTTATATCAACATGACACTGTTTGTAATTAAAAAATAAAACCTGTAAACAATCAAACGGTCTTGAGTATTGCGTTGAAGACGTCAGTGTCATACTGCTAGAAAATACGTCAATTCCTTTCAGACAAAAAAAACCATGCCTCTAAGAAACAATTCAAGGTCACCTCGCCCTGAAAATAAAGTATCTGTCCCTTTACGCCAACGAGGTTTTTCTGCATATGTATGGATTTATTTTTGATATGCTTGCATTTCGTTTACAGTAGTTCGATACTTGGAACTCCATCGACTGTGGGACGTATGCTTTATTCACAGAGGCAGACAGTAGGACACGAAATATTTTTTCTTCTGCATTTCTCCTTTGTAAGTTTTCACCGTCCTTTGGCCAACAAGTTGACTGATTCCCCGCCAAGGTAACCGGTCCAACCAATAACATGATCCACATAAAATCAGAAATCGACAAGGCAAAACAAATACTCGTATCGATCCCGTTCAGTCACTTGTGACCTGAGTACCTTGTATACAACGTTCTCCTTTATGTCATGGAGACTGATTCCGCTTCAGACCATTAACATTTTCATGTCGATATGTGTACAGTACGAAATATGAGAACTTCTTTACGAGATTTGATGTGTATGTTTGTGTGATTAATTAAACATAACGTTTCTTTTTAACATC